CGTCTCCGTAACCGGGCCGTCGCGCCCGTCCCCCGAGCGTCCACGTGCACAGGCGTCCAACAGCGTGGTGGGGCACACAAAACATCTTTAACCGCTCCGCGAGCGTTAGCGCGTTCACGACTATGATACGGTGAGTTGGGGGGGTAATCGCGCGAAAAACGACTGTGTGGGGATGTTCCGAAGGCCTGCGGCGGGGGGTCAAAAGGTCAAACGGTTCAAGTAGGCTGCTAAACAGAAGGGGGAACATTCACCTCCCTTACCTTAGAGGGTTTATCAGGGGGAGGAGAACTGCACGCGAAATTGGCGGCAGCACGGTGGCGGAATCTAACAGGCTCGACCTAGGGCTCCGTGCTAGTCCGGTGTATAGCGAGTCCGAGAGGTGGTACGGCGCAGAGAAGGTCGTCCATCAGCTGGTGCCCCCGACACATGGTTCACGGCTCACAGGTCAAGGTCAATGGGCACAGGGCTAGATTTACATTTCGCTTGAGGACAATGGGTCTTGGACGGAGGGCGATTGGAAAACCTTTTGGGTTGTGTTCAAGCGTGACCTAGCATTTTTATGGCTTATATTTGAAAGGAACCCGCATGAAAATATGCCTTTCGCCACTGACCATTGCGGAAGAGTAAGTGTGCGGACTAACCTTTTGACCCTCAAAGAGGAGGGTTAAAAATATAGAATATATAATAAAATTGACTGTTAAGCAAAGGACTGAACTGCTTTTGCTATTATTAGTAGCCCATTTAGCCTGTGTCATGTGAGGCTACAGTTGCCACAGTCTTAATTGGGCCAAAGGCCCAAATGTTTGTCGTTGAACAAGGTTTACGCTCCTTAAAGTGCATATGAAGTTTTTCTAAAAGCAGTCTGTGCTAACTGGCAAGCGCCGGCAGGCACCTTGCCATGAATGATGGCCATCAGTGAACTGCTCGCGATGAGGCAAAAAACAGCAGGCAGGCTGCCCATGGCTGGCAACGCTTCTAATCATAATTGTTGGCCTGTGGCCAACACTGCCAATGCCACCTGTTAAACCGTCCAGCCAGCTGAGCAAAATTATCCCGGGCGGCTCGTGTCGTGAAGGATAGTACTAGTGGATTATTAGCGCTGTACGCTACTGTAAGGATTTCCAGGAACGATGCCAGTTGATTTATGTGACTTTAGCACCTTTGGCAGCCGCGCCATCCCCCCTCGCGTCGCAACTATAGGCCTATCTTGTTGTAAATTAGATTTTGATTATTCCGAGCATTCAATTCGACGCCGCATCTATTGAGGGGGCACGTAAAAATGCACTCCACTCGCCTTGGGTATTAGATTTTCTCTTTCTCATATACAATTCAACCGACGAGAGAGAGAGAAGTCTAGACTGGCCCCTCGTGCACACATTGACCCGATTTACCAGCGTATGCCGGACGTATCAAAAATTTGGTGAATTACGCCGTGCCGTAGCGTCGAATAAGTTATGGGTAAGGCGTTGTACTAGAATTAAGAGGGCACGCTAAAGCACGCCTGAACGCACGCTGAAGTCACGCTAGTAGATATCCCGTCGTGAGTAGCGGCGAGGTAGCTCGAAAAATTTTGAGCTATGGCCTCAAAATTTTCCGGACGTATGTCCAGCGTATGGGCCCATACGTCCCGGCATACGCGGGCCATAAGTTGTCAGGTAAGTCTAAGCGATCCGCGTCTTTGACACACGCTTCACACACGTTCCTTACCTGTAAGTTAGCTCATAAGTCGAAATACGCTCGAGATAATGATCTAGCGGACACCAAAACTTATTTCTAACTTATGAGTAACGTGGCTTATGAACGCTATGTGTAACTTAATCTGCGGCAACGCCATAAATTGACGCATGTAGGACGTATTTTGACGTGTTCCGGACGACCACAGAAACTTTACTGAACGTGTTTCTAACCTGTACTAGCTTATCCGTACTAATGCCGTTATTGGGGCAGCGTTTAGGGGAATTGGGGTATATAAAAATGGCTATTGGCATGTTGATACTGCGCCCCGGTGATTGTTGATACTGTCGATTGTTCTAGTGTGGTTATGATGAATGGCGTCGGGGGCAGGCCTTTTTTTCTATAAGGCCTACGACCACGCTGGATACGTCCGGCCGATACGCTGTCAGCGCGATATGGCATAAGTTAGACTATCGTTGCGCCTCAACGTTTTGAACGCCGGCGGATACACGCTAAGCATTCGTGCTGGTACTACAGTTATCTATAAGTTATCGAAAACGTTCCCTAATATTACGTTACTACATACGTTAAGTATGGAGCGTTCCAACCTCGTTATCATCACGCTATGTATACGAGCGCGCCAAAAATTTGAAAAAAGGACATCGGATAGTTCAGCGTATACCTAGCGTTTTAGCCGGAAATTTGATACGGTCCCGGACGTAACGCTGGCTAAAAATCGTCAATGGTGATGACAGGGCCATAAGATAAAGAGAGGAGAGAGTAGTAAATTGTAGACGGGGACAGGGAAAACGGTGATTACGGTGTGTATGCGAGCCTGCGGGAAACGGGGTACAATTAGGCTGTGCGAGATGTTGTGCAGGGGGTGGGAGGTGGGAGGCAGGGGGAGGGAGGTCGAAGGCAGGGGGAGGGAAGATGCGAGGTTAAGGGGGGAAGTGAGAGGCAAGAGGAGTGAAGTGGGAGGCACAGGGGGAGGGAGGTGGGACGCAGCGTGGGGAGGGAGGTGGGAGAGAAGGACTCCCCGCCCCCTCTAATTAAACTTGAGATCCATGGCTCATATGTTGAAATCTTTTATAGATAGAGATAAAATAGATAGCTGTGAATCTATGACACAAATTCGAAGTGAAAGGCAAGTATCATTTAATAAAATAAACCAAAATCGCATGGGGGGGAGATAGTGAGGGGCGTGTCCTAACAATGATGTGTAGCGCCAACTGCGTATTCTGCATATTCTGCGCCTGAACAAATGTGTCACTACGCACGACTGAAATTGTACGTTCATAACCGTAGCAACAGACCCCAGATGAGCCCAGACGCTGTGCGGCTGTTGTTATCTAAACTGGTCAAGCGTTTTCTATGATTTGTGTCTTTACTATCTATATAATTTGAGTCTTATATAAGTTTTAATTTCTTTTTATTTATTTAATGAATCCCTATAGGTAAATTAAATGTGTAAATTGTGGAAGTTTAGGAGTACACATTCATTAATTGATACTTTGGGACATGTAGATGAGTACATAAACATTGTGTATATATTTAAAACTTATTCAGTTTGCTTCATTTGCACGTCCTTGTTTTTATTAAGATTTATCTGCCCACGTTGGGTGCACGTTTATACTTTTTGCAAATAGGAAAGTCATTAGGTTGCAATCTGCCAACAACTGGTCTTCCAGGTCAAATAAGTGAGTGGAAAAGTATATATATCGTAATGGCACCACAGATATTATGTCACCAGGGCTTTCAGAGAATAGCAATGCACAATGAAGTCCACATAAAACCTCATTCTGTTATGGCGGTTTTCTGTTTTTCAGCTCACCTTGACATCGTCAAGATGAGCTATTGCCATGGGGTGTCGTACGTCCGTCCGTCCGTCAACATTTTGCTACGGTCAATGATAACTGGAGAACCGTTTGACCCACATGTTTTCAATTTCATACAGTTGTTACTCCTATTGGAGAGATGTGAACGTCCATTTTGGAGCACACCAGTTGACCCTATCTTTCGAGCCACGCCCACTTTTTGGCAAAAAATGGCAAATGGCCATAAGTCAGTTCAGGTTCAACGGATTTTGCTTCATTTTTGGTATGTGGAATGAATACGGACTGGCCTCAAAACATATCACAGGGGTTTCGATATTTTTTTTAGAATTATGCAAATTAGGTAGATTTTGGCAGTTTTACTATGCATTTCAGTGCCTATGGTCAACGATAGCTCAAAAACCGTTTGACCCACGTTTAAAATTGCATACAGTTGTTACTCCTATGGGAGAGATTTGAACGTCCTATTTTGGAGCACGCCAGTCAACTTACTTACAAGCCACGCCAACGTTTTGGCAAAAATGAAAATGGCCATATCTATAGATTCTTTCGATTTTGTTAAATTTACGCTCTACCTCTACCTAAATCATACCTGCGTGTAATATTGTGTTTTAGATTCTTCGTTACAGTAATTTGACTGGAATATTTTATTGCTTTTATTTGCGCAATAATCGAAAACCAAAATGGCGATCATTTAGGCGTAGCGCCCATCTCTCGCCCAGATTTCAGACTTTCAGATCTGAAACATTTATTTTCGCATCAAACTAACCCTGAAACAAACAGTGAAATATTCTATTAGTATAAAACAGCGGAATAAGGACATTTGATTCACATTTCGGTCTGGTCATAATGAAACCAACTTGCCCAAATTTTAAATATCATCTCCCTCTTCTATCACACCCAAGGCGAGCTATAGTGTCATTGACACTTTCATTAGTGTATGTTAAGTTTATTATTATGTATTTTCACTTACAATATTCACGTGTTAATCATATGGTTCCATATGGTTATATGCAAGTGTAATTTATTATTGTGACTATACTATGCAAATTAATTCATATTTAAAGTTTAAAGTTATAAAAGGAAAGACGAACGTACATGAAAAGCACACACTACATTTAAGATTGAATGTGAAGTAGTGCAACAGAATATCACGTATCTGACGTTACAATGGTTTGAACCCAAATTTAGATGTAGGGTTGTTTCTCATGTTCGCGTGGTCATTTTTTAGACAGACACATGAACAAGTGAACAGCATGTACAACTTGTTCAGTACGATTAAGGCCAAATAATGAATTCCATTTTTCTGCTCAGTTCTGTGTGTGCGACATTTTTACACCATGAGCACATAAATTACAGTTTATGTGATCATGGTGATATATTTTGAACGATAGTTATTTTTATAGTAGAGGCTGTTATGATGAATAGTGATTGTGTGATCTGAAAATGCCACAATGGCTGAGGAATTCATGCACAAGTATATCAAAGATGTGTACCATTTTGTCTTATTTGTGCAGTAAATAAATATTTGTTTTGTAGTACCGTAATACAATACATACAATATGTAATGTTGACCGAATCAATTTCATTAACGTTTTCATTTGCAGGCGTTATTTCTTCACAATTAGATATGTATGTTGTCTATAGCAATGCCGTAAACAAGTAATCTCGTAGACAAGTATGAACACGAGCAAAGATGCCTTGTATAATGAAATAACATGAGCTTCAATTTGCTCTCACAAACCTAGTTGCTTTGGTTTATAAATTCAAAAAAACGGCAATAATAAATACATATATATAAACGGCTTGCTTAGTGCATATCATAATCTCAGTGACTATTGCAAAAAGAAATACCCTGTTTTCCGTGGCACTCGCAGTTGTTGGTCTGTAACTACTAACCCCAAAGTTTCCAATACACATGACCATTTGCTGCACATCCTTTTCCCCGCAGACGATTTCGGACGTTTACAATAGTATGAACAGCCTAAGATTCTGCCAACAACGTGCCCACTTGCAACCTGTGACGACTTTAAGTTCAGTGCTACCATTTTCATCTCTATACACAATCGGAGACAAACGTCGATTCATGTGAACACTTCCGTTTAACGAAAGCTCACAAATTCTGTGCAACACCCGCTGCGAGCGAATGAACGATACACTTGGCCATCGACCACCTAGTGCTCACACACGCCTTGCACATTTCCTGCAACGCAGGTGCTAGGTGTGAATAGAGAGTGCCAGTGCATGGGCAGGTCCACTACACATCAACTGTCTGTTGCAACCGTGCAGTTTTACCTCCCATCGCGGTAGCTCTCTTCAACGACCTAGGAGCTATGCGAGTGTGTCGGTCGCATGCGCCGCAGCCTTTACGGGAGTGGTGTCTGCTGCGTGGGTCTGGGTGAGACATAGCCACTCAGGGCTGGTTTGCTTCTCTGGGCTAGTTTATGGCACTGGGCTGGTCTGTGGCTCTAGGCTGGTCAGTGGCTCTGGGCTGGTCAGCCGCTCTAAGCTGGTCTGCAACTCTGGGCTGGTCTGTGGCTCTAAGCTGGTCTGTGCTTCTGGGCTGGTCTCTGGCTCTGGACTGGTCAGTGGCTCTGAGCTGCTGTTTTGACTCGCGTCTAGGCAAGTCGCCACTTCACATTCGTCGTCAGGATCACCTGTCCGCGAAGGTGCGGGGCTCTCTCCCGGCGGAACCCGGTAGAGGGACTTTGCTTCCCTCAACAACTTCTGCAGGACGTCGTCTGGCAGCGACGTGTGACTGCTGCGAATGCTCACTTGAGACGATCTGGAATAGAGGTCACTATTAGCGTTCTAGTGAAGTTTAAGCAGAAGTCCACAGTACGTCTAATGTCACTGTATCTGTCGCGAGGGGTTTGTCACGTTTTAAGTTGCCGGTTTACGCCATACGCGCCCCCCATTTTGTAGCAACCGTGCGTTGATACCATGCTGTATTTTTTCATGCACAGAAATGGTGCCAAACAGGTCGCGCAACTGGACGTTCACAAATAGCAGGCAACTGACACCAGTGATGGACTCTCATCATCTATATGGGCGATGGAATCAAACTGAAACTGTTCACACTCCTCCAGCAGTTTGTCTAAAGTTGCTCTCGGCAGGGGAGTCACAATTTCCTAAGCAAAGAAGCAACACAACGTTTTTATCTGTTCAAAATGCCCAAGGAACCGATTGCATGGCAGTTTGACAATAAGAGTTCATTAAAAATCTAATACTCGAGAAAAGTGAATGATCGTTTAAAATCCCAAGTAATTCAGTTTTTACTTCCTTACCTATATTTATTACTTCAATTTCATTACCTTTACTGCATTTCGAAGGTAGAAATTAACCCAATATGGTATTATTTTTAATAATTTTGATCATGCCAGTAATCCAAAATAATAATGATCATGGAAGCATTTCCAACAATTCAGATTATACTGAAGCACTGGTGATAATTTTGTTTATCTAAACTTCGCACTTCTAAATATAGCTGCGTCCAGTTTCAGGAGAATTCCCTCGGATTCGTAATCGCATCCGAACAACCCACTCTTCCGATTTCCACGCGGGAAGCATCCTCTAAGATCGCATGCGTCGCCCCTGCTTACCGTAGGTTCTTGCAGCTTCAGCAGCCTGCGCTCCAGCTCGGCCAGCGCGCGTTTCTGCGTGTCGTACTGCTCCTGTAAAACGAGCGCACTCTCTCGCTCCAACCGCACAGATCCCCCGCCTGCCGACTGCTGGCTGGCGCACGAGGAGACCGACTTGTGCGAGCTGCTGGCCTGCAAGACACGTCAACGACGCTTGCATTACAGACGACGCGGCGGCGTTGTCTAGCGCAGAGCTTCTTAAAATGTTTCGGCGTCATTCACCCTCGAGTCTTTACTCCTTCACCCGAGACTAAATTTCCTTATGTTTTTGGTAATTCTATCCTGTAGTTTCATTCACCCAGAAATAATTTCATTCACCCGTGGGTAAACCATTCACCAGTTTAAGAAGCAATGGACTCTAGCGGAATCGTGTCGGCGTTAGGCCAAGCACTATACCGACACACTCAGCGACCGGCAGATATCTAAAGATTACTGTCTAGCGTGTCTGCTCCGTCGATGTGCTACTTTCGTCAGAGATCGCTATCGCTGCTGGTCACTCGGCAATTTCTCTAATGTTTTATATTATCGACGACAATTGAAACAATTGCCAATTACTGCTGCCGCCAACGAAAATCGCCCAGTTTGTAAGATTTCATGGGACTTTTATTTATATTTCGTGCGCGTTGACTGCTGATTCAAAGTCCATTTAATTGACACTAATAGTGGAAGAATATACAGCCAAATCTGTATATAAGAGTACCTGAATGACCCCTCCCCCCTAGGTTTCCCTTTCTCTGGAGGCAAACCCCAAGTGTCCCTTATATATACAGGGGCCTGTTCTATCTACGGATGTCTGCTAACACAGGTTTTACTGTACATGTCTTGGGAGGAGTGTAGAGGATGTACATATCGCCTGAAAGTCTTCAGCAGACAACATATTCTGTAGCTGCATGTCAATGTCTAGCAATGCCTGTAGCTGTTCATGGTCCAGCGAGTACCCTTCTCCATCTCTCATTGCAATGCATGCTTCCATATCTTCTGCCACCTGAAGCAAGTGAAAGCCACTCGCTGCGTATTTACTTGCGTGCGAATCGGGATTTAAAATCTAATAATACGATTACATTAGGTGTTGTCATTATTCTGTTAGAAACCTTCACGTGCTTCATCGCGTTTCGTTTGACAGCTGATATTAACTTGAGATGTGATCATTTGAAAAAGAAGGAGGCAAATGTAAAATTATAGGAGACTGCAGCACATCATACACTATAGGCATCTATAACCTTTCTTACAGAAAGTGATTCTTCGTTGTTACTCTGTAGTAGATCCTCCACTCGCTTCTTTTCATCATCTGTCATAGCAACAATGCTAGCAGCATCCCCTGCAAGCTGCAAAAGAAATGTACAATGATGATGAGGAACATGATGGAATGCATGTCAATGTAAACAAGTCTGAAACGAGGTCTCATTACTTATATTATCAATTACCCATTTATTATCACTCGAGTTACTTAATTTATCATCTGATCAATATTTCGTTTTTTGGTTCATTACCCAAACTTGCTTAATTAAAAGTTAAATCCTTCCCGCGCCTTCATACGCATAGCCCATAGCTACATGGCGCATGGGGCAGTGCCTATCTCCATTTCAGTAACCCTGAGGCCCCGCAGCTGTTTTCACAGTAAATGCTACAGTAGGGGGTTAGTCCACTGGTAGCACTGCGAGTTAACTTGCCACACTCTATCTCTATTTGCTGAATGCTAAGCAGAGAAGACGTGTGTACCATTTTTCAAGTCTTTGGTATGACACGGCCGGGAGTTGAACTCCCGACCTTCCACATACGAGGCGAGCACTCAACCATTGAGACATCGCAGTGGTACTTAAAAAACTTGCTTAATTACAACATGAAATCTATCACACATATACTTGTCTTTGAATAAATCTTCCTAGATTAATTATTTTAATTATCGGGGATTTAATTACTCACAGGCCATTAATAGCTCAGTACGTTCGGTCACTAGATAGCTTACTTGGATGTTTCTTCTGATGAAGGAATCGTTACTGCTTTTTCTTTTGCGCCTGTCGGCATCTTCATCATTCACACTGCCTTCTCCTGCACCTAAAAAAATGATGTGGCAACATAGCAGCAATAACCAGAGGTAGGTATCTTTACCCATCCCGAACAATGAGACACAATGTTCTGCTATTCAATTAAAAATCCATTCATATAATTCATGAAGCCATTGAATAGACTGCACGTGGTTGGTGTATTTACATTAGATCAATGTGAACCGTGTGCAACTGCTATTGTACTTATATTCTGTATAGTTTCTCCCATCATTTTAATTAGTATATAATATGAGCCTGCAGAGTACAGTACATATTGATCCTTCTGAAATTTCCACTTTCGAACATGTGTGTAAACAGTACTTTTTCAGCACATGCAATGCTGCATAGCTTATATGTATTTACTACACGTTCACCCCCACGCACAGCATACATACAGCTTATGTAAATTGTGTGAAGATCTTAGTATATAGATACAGCCAGTGGTGGCACTAGTTTAGGTAGTGGCACTAGTTTAGGTAGTGCTACTTTACATTAGCTTGAATTATTTATTTGGATTTTTACCATCTTTTTCCTTCTTTATTTTAATTCATTTAAATGAGATTTTTCCTTAAAATTTGGCACTCCATTCAACATTGTGGCCCAGGTAAATGCTAGTTTGCCTGTATTATGGAAGGCAGTTAATCTTTGGACTTACCTATTACTTTCATGTCAAGGTCGTCATTCTTTTGTCTGGATTCCTCAATAACTTGAGTTTGAAAGACTGGTGTAATTGTTGGATCTAGATAGTCACTTTCTCCACCCTCCATTTCTTTAGGATTTTCAAAATGAATGTAGTTGAAACAGTGAAACATGAGAAATGTTAAACACACCACAATATTGATACGACACCATTAGCACTCGATCGAAAAACCAAATAGCTTGCTGAAAATGTGTGTAAAAGAAATAGGCCTATCACATGCATTTAATATTAACTCATGCAACTTAAAGTCATCCTAGATTGATAGATTATCTCTCAATGAATACCCATTTTCCACTAACTGGTCATTTTTAACAACATGAATACAGGTGATAGGCATGGGCATGGTTGTGTGTTTCGCTCTGTGTTTGGATCATTAACACAAATATCATACAGATCACATGGATCTAACGATTTTGTTTGTTTTGGGGGATTGAGATTGATCCAAACCAGGATTCCTGGAATACTTTATCCTGCTGACAAGGTGGGTTCAAGCAGACCAAATATGGCAGCCCATGAAAACCATATGGCATGCCCACTGAAACCAGTCACCAGTACTTTCTAGTTATGAACCATCCTATGATAGGACACACTTGAGACCACACCAGTTTGAGTTACATTCACATTTTCCTTGGGCTGATCCAGATAAAGTGATAGGATAACCAGATGGGACCGTCCTAAAGAAACATGCCCATGAAATTAAACAACCTATGCAAACTCGAATTTATTCTTTACATTTGTTCTACAGATCATCGCTAACCTTCGTTGTTTCTATCACATAGGCTGGGAGATTTTGCTTGATCATCCTCGCAAGTTGCAACTGCCATGAAGTTGTGTTTCTCTCTCTCTGCCACCGAATCTCTCCTGTTGGAATTGTTCAGATTGTCTAATTGTTGCCGCAGTCTCTCTACCAACTTCTTTGTCTCATGTTTAACCTTTTTCTCACGACTGATTTTACTTGCTAATATTTTATCAAGCCTCTGCATCCTCAGAATGGGTTCGCGCAGTTTAGGATCAGAGATTGATACATCTTTCAGTAGTCTCTCGTAGATGCCACTGCTCTTTGAGGTATCTGCGTGAGCATGACTATAAGTTCTCTCCGATTTGTCAGAAGCTTGCTTGTTGTGATGTTCATCACCAGAATCCGAAAATGAGTGTGCAAGCGGGTCGGTGTCATGTGTTGTACTGTCAAATGGGATGTGTCTTCCTACTAGATTATTTCCTTCCTGCAATATACTTACGAGATTAGATCATAACTGCAAGATGCAATAAATGTCTGTACTTGCAACGTAATGAGAAGCGAGAAGATAACTTGCATATTGCTAGCGTAACCCTAGTCAGCTCTAGTACTATATAGCCCGCGTACATTGACTGCCACAGGCCGGTCGCTGCTGCCTGCGGCAGTCAATGTACGCGGGCTATAGTATAGTACTAGAGCTAGCGTAACCCCAGCTCTACCTGTGTAGCCCTTCGCTTAGGTACCTACATTATCATGATTAATGTCAGGCCCGTATAGCCAGGGGGGGTTCGGGGGGTTCGCACGACCCCCCCCCCCGAGCAAAAAGAAAAAATATATAATTTCCATTTGAATATTTGCAAGAATTTCACCTCAGGTATGCACCAGATCGCTCCATTTTAGTGTAATAATTGCAAAATCTCCATCGTAATAATTCAAAAATCCACACGTACCCTCCCCCTGCTCGGTCGCTATATATATACTCGATCCCTCGCTCGGTCGCTTCGCGCCCTCACAAATTTCCAACATTTAAAAACGAACCCCCCCACCTAATATAAAGCTGGCTACGGGCCTGATTAATGTAACCTAAGCTAGATTATCCCTACTACTACTACTATAGTACGTGAAGTATGTACGACTATGAGACCCACGTAGCTCTCCTCTTCAGCTCTACCGCACTCCGCAGGCCTGTACCGCAGCCAAGGGGGCGGTATTTTATTTATTTATTTATTTAATGACGGTAGGCCTACATTTCTTATAATATTATTATTACTATTACTATTACTATTAGGCCTAGTACTAGTAGGTATTAATGAATAATGTCAACATGAGCTGGCAAGCTCCTCACCGTCAGTGTAGAGTACCGTACGTAACTCCCACGAGGCTTAAAATCACGAACCTGATGATAATGATCAGTTGGTTCCGGAGACAGCACTTCGAATGATCCAGAGCAGTTCGATGTCATTTTTACATTACCAGAACTGGGTAGGCCTCCAGAGGAATGCCCGAGTGATATAGAGCCGTCAGGTCTCGACCGCGATGGTGAAGCCGCAGCTCTCGTGATATCTTCCAACTTTCCTTTCGCTATCTCCATGGTTCCAAAGGTGTACGTTAATATTAACGTAACTATTATAGGGCCTACTATTAGTAACGAAGGTATGCTTGAAATACGTCGTCAACAACCGGTAATATTCATTTCACTATTTTACAAACACGCCGCACACATTCAAAATATTTTGTTGCTATGTTGCTCCAGTAGCGTCATTAGCAACGCCAGTCTCGGTTTTCCTAATGATCGAAAGACGCCGAAAGGCATCTATTATGGGCAATATATCTGTACATCACCTGATATATCTCGGGACAAAGAACCTCGTGGTGCTCTGCTGAAACAGGTGTAAATTTTGCTCGTAAAGTTCTGCATGATACGTTTATATTGGGCGCATCATTTATTTTTTTACAATAGCCGGCGGAACAATATCATATTTTACTATAACAGTATACGTACAGATTAGTATAAGTGAGATAGAATCAGGAGTGATTAAAAAACTGTTTGATGAATGGAACCGATATAATCTACCGCATTCACGACTCTTCACTGCAGTATGTCACATCAAACCCGTATCTTGGAGTTCACCTAGACAGTGGCCTCAGGTGGAACGTCCACATTGACAACATATGTGTGAAGGGCAATAGATTGTTAGGCTTAATTCCTGCGCCGAAATCTGGGCTGCAGCCATCAGCACATTGAGGAAAGAGCGTACAAAACTCTTGTATTACCAAGCCTGGATTACTGCTCATCGGTGTGGGACCCACACCAAGAGAAATATAAATATAAGCTAGAAATGATAAAAAACAGATCTGCAAGATTTGTTACAAACACCTATGGACGATATAGCAGTACGTCAGCTGAGGGGGGTAAGGGGGGTACTGTTCACAGTTCACAGTGAAAATAAACTGCTTTTCACATTTCACAGTGAAAATAATGCTCTTTTCACAGATCACGGGGATAATCCAGTTTACAGCTAAAATTTCAGACAGATAAGATATATAGGTCCTACAAGTGTATTTCTTGACTAACAACACTTCTGAAAATCAAAAATATGCTTGCGCAGTAGTCATGCTTATACATGTGTCATAATGTGTATGTGTGTGTGTGTGTGTGTGTGTGTGTGTGTGTGTGTGTGTTGTGCGTATGTATGTGTGTATATATGTGTGTGTGCATGGTGCGTATGCGCGCGCGTGTGCGCGTTTGTGTGCGTGGGGGGCGTATGTTGTGTGCATGTGTGCGTGCGTGGTGTGCGTGCGTGCGTGCACTGTGCAGCCTGCTGGA